ATTTATTCTGGAGGTGATGATCGAGATGGCTTTGTCCCCCGCTTCTTCGTAAGCGGTTCTTTCTTCTTCAGTGGCATCCTCGGCGATGGGTACAGTGCAACATTTCCAGAGTTTCTTTCCGCGGAGAAAGATGAACATTCTAGAATGCCAGTTAGTATAATTTGACCCATCTAAGACCGGAACCCCATTTGAAGCGGGGGTATCGTGTTTTTCTGTCCCGGACATCGATCCTGCCTTGGTTTGACTAATGAATTGAGATCGAGGTGATTGAGCCAACGAGACTGTAAATCTGTTAATTACCAAACTTAAGGATGTATTTCAGGTTAGTGAGAGTTTAACAAAGAAATACATGACAAAGAAAATGATCAGGCAAAAAGAAATGAGAGTGTACCTTAAGGCAGGAACAACTAGACAAGGGACACGATAAGCGAAGAAGAGAAGAAACAAGAGCAAAGACTAATAATGAAAAGAAGTCAGAGTCTTGGTTATACCGCCGTCCAGAAGAGAATGGAGTGAACACCTACTGTGACCTAATGAAGGCAAGAGAGGTTTAACAGTCGGCGGAGAGTCGAATAGAAGGGAGACGAGATGAAGTGAGAACGGTCGAGTCGAATGATGTTTGACGACGAGCGATGATAGTTAACAAGCGAGTTGTTTTATCGAAAGAAGGGAGGAGGAAGTTTTGTTAAGAAAAAGATTATCACAAGTCTTTAAGATAAGAGTGACGATGATGAGTCCGAGATGATGAGAAGAGGAAGAAAGAATCTTCTGAGAAACAACGATAAAGGTTTCTGGAGTCATGGGGAGAAAGACGAGCGAGGTTGAAGGAAGGAACTTATATAAGACATTGCAGAGACCGCAGCGATGATGTCATTGAGAAGTCGACTGGGCTTATGTAATGGGTGACTTTAGGAAAAACACCACTAGAGTACTGGAGGGATCGCGATCAGATCTCAACACACTGGCCCATGGGCAGACCAAGCCCGCCCAATGAGCATCCTTAGTTAAGAGGAAAATTTCTGATGGCCTTTCTCTCAAAAAATCAAGCCTGTCTTGTTCACATTTCCCTTTATTTTGGAGGAGCATGATTATAAGAGGCTGCCTACATACAGCAGCAGTGTCCCAATGCATTCCGATACAATCTTTTGGATGCTTTGACAACTTGTGTTGGCCCATAAAATGGGTATCTTAATCAAAAGAAGGATGGATTGGAGGACTTCCCATGAACTATACAGCCCTTGTGTTTGTTTATTTAGATGCAAAAAGTCTAGGTTTTTGTACAGATGGCACAGCAGGTACCTGTTTGATTTGCATGGATTAATCTCCTTCAAAGTGCTTGTGATCAAGGAGCATCAATATGTAACACTTTCATCTCAGCAAGTACAACTTTGGACTTGAGGAAGATACTCACCTAAGTGCATGAGCTGGCACAGGTGAGAGTGCAGATTTCAAATACCTGTGCAAAGGTAAGGTGATCTCAAAACTGATCACCATCCAGATTGAGGGAGCACAATCTTTTTTCAAAGCTGTCTCTTCTTACTCAGTAGCTGACAGATTGCCACAGAAACAAACTGCCGGTCAAGATGGATGGAAAAAATAAACACCTGTTGAATTTTCATCAGCTAAATTTGAACATCATTTGAAACTTACTGAAAGATAAACAATCAAGGTCCTTTGAAAATGTATGTGATGGACGGAATTTCCAAACAAGCACTTTTCCCTTATAACAATTTGACGTTTTCATTGATGTCAATGATATGAAACATTCAAACCGAAAATGATCTCAAGAAATAAGGGAAATTAAAAAGAAATGTTTTTTTTTTTTTGGTTTTTGATAAAATTCCTTCAAAATCTTCTTCATCTGCTGATATGAGTGGATTTTTAGACCTATTGGTCCTCTACAAGCCCAATCAATCCCCATATAAGAATCGTGAAATGATTGAATAGAAATGCGAATGAATTGCAAGCATGAATGTGTGCATGAAAACTCCATAGGCTGGGCCTGCTCAGCCATTGGCACAGGTGGATGTTGAATTTCCCTTATGGTGTAGTGATTGTCCGTGCTAGAGCTTCAGAGAGTTGAAGGAAGAGGCTCTCTTCGAATCTTTATGTATACAAGCCTCTGTAACAATCATTGTCGTTGTTTGAGCGGGGTGATGGTCATAGGAGAGGGCCCAACAGCCAACAAGTTGACCCGATGCAGACTAAAAGGTCTTGGAGATGTGAAAGGTTTTGAATTCGGTTATGAATGAGCTTGAACTGGAGCTTCTTGGGTTCTTCGATTAGTTAATACGGGCGAGTCACGATGGATTCTGAGGACTATCGAGTCTGGTCCAGATCCGAGATCGTCGGTGACGAAGTTGATTGGAGGACTGCACGCGTGAGTTGATAGGGGTGTGCCGAGGGTGAGACAGTGTTTGATGGGCCGGTCGGCGCGGCAGGTTCCGGACCATTCCGGATGGACTGGGTTGGGCTGGGTGGCGATGGACTGAGGATGATGCTGATGCTGATGCTGATGATGATGGGCCAGGGAAACCTTGGCCATGGCAGCAGCGACGAGCACAATACAAAAGGACCTCCTCCTTCTTTCAGCCCACAAGCCAAACACTCCAACCACAATACATATTCCAATTCAGAACATCCACCCACGAACCACCATCAAGAAAGAAGAAATGACTGCCCCCTCCAAGCCGGACACATCCATCAACTGGTCTCTGCTCGCCGGCGCCGAAACCACCAAGCCGCCCTCTTCATCCTCCTCTTCCTCCTCATCAAGATCCTCGGCCGACTTGTCGACCCCAAACACGAGCGTGTTAGCAGATGCCTCCCCGCCCTCCTCCTTCGCCTCCGTCTCCTCGGAGAAACTCGCGCCTTCAAAGGCCCAGCCCTGGATGCCCAAGAGCCAGGGCTTGTCGCAAGACCCAAACGATTGGCTGTGGCAGATGACCGAAGAACCCCATCGGAGTCGACGAAGAGCGATCTTGAAAGATCATCCTGAAGTACGTCCTTCTCATCATCAAAACAAAAAAAAAACCCTCACTCCTTATCTAAAACTTAATGTTTCTTGTTTGGTTCAAAGGTACGTAAGTTGATGGGATACACTTGGACGACTAAATGGGTCACCCTGTTCGTCGTCTCGCTCCAGTTGTCCGTCGCCATGTACTTCGGTTCACGCTCGAAAGAAGGCCTCGAATCGGCATGGAACTGGAAGTTTTTCGTGGCCGCATATGTGATTGGAGGGTGAGCGATTTGATCCTCTTCTCCCACCCCATCCGGCCATGAGTCTAACTCTCATGACGATCGGGTATGATGGTGACAGGACGGCGAACCAGAACCTATTCCTAGCGATCCACGAGATCACCCACAACCTAGCCTTCAAGAAGATCCTGCACAACAGGCTCCTGGCGATCTTCGCCAACCTGCCGATCGGGATCCCCTACGCCATGGTCTTCAAACGCTACCATCTCGAGCATCATAAGGCCCTCGGAGAGGACGGCATCGACACCGATCTGCCCACCAAACTCGAGCTGCTCTGTCTCAGAAACGTCCTCGGTAAAACCTTCTTCGCGTACGCTCCCCTTTTCTTCCCTTGTCCTCCCATCCATTGCTTCCAGCCTCACACTCACACTCCTCATCTCGACTACTCAGCACTTTCCAGATCTTGTTTTATGCCCTCAGACCCGGCTTCGTCCGCTCTCAGAAACTGACCGGCTGGATCGTTGCCAGCTTTGCGATCCAACTGGGCTTTGACTACGTGCTCTACAAACACTTTGGGTATGCATCATCTTCTCTCTTTCATTGCTCCACCCCCCCTAAAAAAAGAAAATAGACTATCAATCTGACGATTTTTTTTTTCTTTTGAAATAGGTTGGCCTCGGTGATGTATTTGATCGTGTCCTCGTTCATGGCCGGCTCGTTGCACCCTTGTGCGGCCCACTTCATCGCCGAACATTACGTCTGGACGGCCGACGGAGGCGACCAAGAGACATGGAGCTATTACGGCCCGCTCAACATGCTTGCCTACAATGTCGGCTACCACAACGAGTATGCCCCTTTTTTTCCCCTCTTTTGAATCTCTTTTTCTTTAACTCATTTGCCTTCCTTGATTTGTTTGATATAGACACCACGATTTCCCGTCGATTCCGTGGACCAATCTGCCCGAATTGAATAAGATCGCCCATGAGTATTACGACCCGTTGCCCAAACATTCCTCCTGGCCTATGGTCATCATCAGGTTCATCTTCGACAACAATGTCGGCTTGTTCTCCCGCGTCAAACGGGTCCCCGGCGGCCCCCATCTTCCCTTAGTCCCCGCTCCTGATTCTTCCGTCAATCATACAGTCGAAGATCGTAAAGATATCTGATTCGCGGACGCCTTTTCTTCGATTTTCGGCTCGTTTGTTGCATATATTTTTTTCCTCTTAACCTTTTCGCTCAAAAAAAAAAAATGCTCTTCCATAAAATACACACACATATATATATACATCCTTCGTAGATACCCCTCCTCAATCGTCCTATCATAACGTCCCCCACCCAAGTCTCCTTCATATATCCATTTTTTTCATTCCCCAAGAAACAACAAAACGAAGAAGCGTGGCAACGGTAATACGTCCGATGTCCATCCCGCTCTATTATAACGTAGATCTATTGTAATGTATCTAACCGTCATTTTAAATGCCCGTTTGAAAAGCATGAGCATGCCTTGTGCACTCCATAGATGATGCAAACGCAAAGAGGCTGATCTGAGGACCAAACATTACTCCATTTCATTTGCAAAGGTGTGGTTTTGGTAACAAATTGAAAGAGATCACCTGCAATCAGGACCTGAGTCAATAACCGTCACTGTTGTAGTCTTAACGGAATCGGGCCAGCAGTTGGGTGTGTCATTCAGGGTGGATATTGTCAGAGCATTCTACGTCAATAACTAGATCATCAAATATTGGATGACTTCCCGTCGCAATCTACGACCCTCCCAGAAGCCGATTTACACCCCTTAAATCTATTTTTTTTCACAAAGAAAAATACTTTTTCTGAAGCCTTCTGGAAACAGCTCTCATGTGAGCTGGTTGATATCTTACTCCTGTTGTTAATTTAGGACTGAGGGAGGTCTAAAAATCATTCTAAATCGCGACGGGAAGTCCTCCATTAAATGAACAAAAATGAAAACTCGAAAAAACAGAGATAACAAGCTCAGACTCGATGTTTTTTGGATGTTTTTTGTCAAGGGGGGCAATCACATCAAGTGGCACTACATGCAACTGAAGTATGTACTCGTGTTGAGACTATAAGGATGGATTCTTGCCCTTCAACCTTACCAAAAACATGAGCTCCAGAAAGAGTGTGAAGCCAACAACATCTGGCATCTGCTCGAGCGGTGTGGTTTTCTGATCCGTAATCAACAGACAAAGAGACTTGGAGCTGATCCAGCAGCTCACGGAAGCTGGGCTTAAGTGGCTAGAAAGAAGCATATGTAGAGAGAAAGAGAACACAAGGGTGATAGGATTTATCTGCATGGGTCTGATCTGTGACGTCATGTCCGTGTCGAGAAGTGGTAGGATGCGGTGTCGGATCACAACACGACGTCATGGGCCGAAATCTTCCTCCTGCAATCCACAAACCCGAGGAAGCGCACCAGAGGATACTACCAAGCAGGTCAGTCCGTCTTCTCTTGGCCACTCCCACCACCAGAGCAGAGACCCAAGACTTGGATCCAAGAGAAGAAGAGTTGTGAAATGCTGACGGACCCTATCAGCATGTGCTCTTCCATATTAATAGGGTCGAGAGGAAGCTTCGTGCACTGGAACAGGTATGGCCGACCATCCGACATCCATTACAACCGTGATCTTTGACGTTGGTCAGTGGACTCGATTCTCACCAATCAATCAATCCGACAGAAAGACATTGATGTGAACACCCAGCCGAGATCTCGTCCGATTCTGTCGCTTCTCTCATCCACTTGTAACATCATGCTTGACCTGGGGTATTCTTGTTGCACGATTCAGGAGGAGTGGTTGTCAAGTCGCCTCTGTAAGTGTGTGTGTGTGTTTTTCTTCAACGGAGGCATTTCTTTTGGAGCCCAAAAGATAATCAACGAAATACCCTTCTGATCAAATGGACAAATGATGTATGCAAAACAAATATTGACAGGCTAGGGGTCAACAAGTTCGAGAAAGCCGAGGGCTTGCCGGCCGACTATCTGAATGTGGCCATCACTGCTCGCGGGGCCGACGGGGCGTTCCAAAAGCTCGAAGTCGGCGCCCTGCAGCTGCCCGAATTCTATGCCCAAGTTTCGTATGCTCTGATCCACCCTGACCGAAAGCTTCGACCAAAGTTTACTCTCGGGGTTGACATATCATTAACCAAACCATATCCGTCGATATCCGGGTCTTTTGGGCAACAGTTTGGCGATCAAATGAGTGACACCCAGTTTAACAATCCGGCGTATAAGAGGTTTTGTTCGAAGACTAAGAGAAGTAAGGTGACCCCAAACCCTCCTCCTTGTTTTTGATTTGATTTGATTTAGCAATCTGTTCGAATTGTTAATCTTTGGATTTCGTTTCAGCTTGTCCAAGCTTACCGACGACCCTACAGGTCGATGGAAAACAGGTTTGTGACGAGTCTTGATCAGCTGCAGCAGTCTGGCCGACAAATGGAGGGTGATGATACATTGGTTTGGTTTCTAATAGCTATGGAAGCAGATGATGGTAGAGGCATCGACTCCCAATCTACCGATCATCAAGCTCATCAAACGTCTCAGAGGTTAATATTCTTCTACTTTATTATCGGCTTTTTGGTGTGTTACTTTTACTGATATGCAATCGGTTTTCCTTCTATACGTGATCCTTAAGAATCTGGGAAATATCGAGTGGCCGCCTTGACAAATAATTTTCAATTACCGGCCGGTAAAACCGAGGATGATCAGGAAGCGTTGGGACTAGCCCCGATGGAAATCAAGGATCTATTTCACGAGTTTATTGAGAGTAGTCAGGTTGGACTTCGGTAAGCTTTCTCTTACTTTTCTTTCTTTATTTTTTAAAAGAAAAAAAAAGATATCCAACTGAAAATTTGGCTTGAGAAAAGTGAGACTAATTGCTGACTTGAGTGGGGCTTCGTATTCAACATTTCATCAGCAAACCGGATCCCAAGTTTTTTGAGTATGCTTTAAAGCTTCTCAACGTCAGAGGTCCAAAAGAGGTTGTATTCTTTGATGATATAGGGTGAGTTCAAAAAAGCTATTTTGATACATGCATGTATAAACCATCCACCAAAAACACAACTGAAGGAATTGTTGCTTGGCAGTATTAATCTGAAAGCGGCTGAGAAATTAGGCATAAATACCATCAGTAAATTTACGCTTTTCTTCTTTGTCTTGTTGATCTTATAGCCAATCTCCACAATAACTGATCCTAAGCTGACTTCTTTTTGCATTATTTCCTTTTCCAAAAAACAAAAACACAAATGTAGAGGTGGGAATTAATGATGTCAAACCAGCGTTGGAACAACTCCAGAAATATCTGCCAGATTTAGATTTGAAGGATATCATCAACAGCGCAAAATTGTAGAACACTTGACCCTCTGTACTTATAATGTGATGTAATGGTGAGAACCCTTTGGTTGACAAAAACATTTTATCTAGTTGACTGCCGGCCAATGAAATGTATGTATACGAAGTGTGTTTCTAATGGCTTGAACACCTGGATCATGCACCCAACATTTTCTTCCATGAAAAATGTGAACTAAACATTTTCATGGACCACTGGCACTGTCTTGCATCTGTTGTGAAAATGGATATTTGATGGTCATTGTTCATGGTTTGTAAATTCAGTTCCTGAGATTGCAAGTGCTAGGCTTCATGATGAACCAGTGTTCATAGACACTTCACACAAGTGAGATATGAAGTCATTGCAAAGCATGGATGGTTAAGTATATTATCCCCAGGGTAGGAATAATCCAGATATATATATATATATGTGCACCTCAGAAAATTGTTCAGTTGATCTTGGAGAAGAAGCATATGTCTGTGACCAAGGTCCAATTAAGTTACCAGAAAGCCAGGTGTCTTGATAAGGCAGCCATTGATGTACTCAACCATGTGAAAAACAGATGGCAAGTTTCCAATGGATGCCATTGAATGACTTGAAGTTGTGTGGTTGCAATCCAATCACATCTTTCAACCAGACCATTATGAGGAGGTAATAAGTATATACAATCAGTCATGGTCATCAGTAAGCCCTCTGCACTCCAGAATCCCACACAGGTATCCTACCCCAGTTCATGTCACAAGCCCTGTGCACTCAGACATGGTTGATTTTTCCTGATTTAGCTAATATCTACCATTGTGGCCACACTGTTTTTTTCTATATTTATGTTTAACAGTTCTTCTAAATTTGGTTCCAAATCACTGGGAATCTGCCATGATTTAATGGCCCTGGGTGAAGTGTGTAGAGAAACTTTGGAGTTCTGAGTGGTCTGTACCAGACACACAGTGATCAAGAAAAGTATGTAATACTTGAACATATGTATCATGTAGTCTATTTTAATATCTTTCTTTGGGAAGTTCCCATTTTGTTTCTTTCTTCATCGTGTACGTGTTGAACAGAATCTACTACATTCTGTGTTGTCTCTGACTGACATTGTCTGTTGGCTTTTGTTTTGCAGACAAAGGAAGAAATAACAAGGCGGGATGGAGGGGGAAAGGAACAATCCATAGTGAATGCATTTTTAGTCTCAATGGAAAAGGTGATTTCTGTGAAGGTGAGTGGCTGGGGCAGACTGCAGATGGCTTGAAGGTCAAGGTGGAATTGGACTAAGTACAAGCTTCCCAGGATTCAAGAAGATGGGTCAGACTATTTGGCGTAAAAGGTTCGAGCTACAAGCGGGCCGGGTAAGAGGATTTCGAGCCAAGTCCATTCTTCCAGGGGTCGGAATTGATTGAACATGCCAGGAGGACGACAGGCATCTCGAGTGAAGAGCGGGGCAGTGAGCAATAAGAACGAGGCTGTCCACAGCTTGGCCCCGCCTAACTTCTTGGGCACATAGGGGATAACAAATGGCTCCAGAAGTATGCCCAATGGTTGGATGAAAAAGAAAAGGAAACTGCCGGGCAGGGTCGTGAATAACTCTCGGGGATATGGATGGGGTTCCCGTTGGAAAGCGTACAGGGCTATGACGACGTCAGGATACATAGAATCAAGTGCACTTGGAGTTGCGTCAGATCAAGAACGGCAAACCAGATAATTAGCATTTGCAGGTTGCTATCAGACAGAACTTCCGGGCCAACTCACAATATTCATGAAGGAATCCACTGACACCAAACGCGCCCAGGAGGCCACAAGCCTTCTGAATCTTTGGGGAGCCACCCAAGACTCTGGCCAACGACTTGGCCGGTTTGCCGCCACAGAACAGAAAATGGCGACGGAACTTCTGATGCCAAGACTTTCCCCAGAAATCGGCCAAGGAAGAGAGCTCGAACAAGGAGCCAAACAGAGGTGGGAAACATGCCGGGTTGACCAGTTCAGCCAACTGAGGAGGAAGGCCGATTGTTCTGGTCATCGGGTAGACGAGATAGCTCAACAGTGTTGCGATCGTATGCGGAATCTCGAAAGTGCAACTGAGCGCCAACATGGTGCAAACTGAGTGTAAAGCTCCTGCCAGAAGGTCGAGACCTCGAAACAAAGGGACACCCAGACTTAGGAGCGCTCCTCGTGAGTCCAAGCTGTAGTTGGTCCAGTCTTCAGAGTAGAGCACAAAGGCTAAAGAGGCTAAGAAAATCAGTTGAAGCTGTAACAACTCCAGGAATGATTTCGCGAACGAGTTCGTATTCCCCTTGGCCACCGATCCCCATGACCATCTCAACCCGCGTTGACTTTTGCAGGAGAAAGAGGAGTGTCAGCTTATGACTAGAGAAGCAATAGAGAGCTAAGCAGGGATGGATAACACACGAGGTAAACAGCAATCCAGTCCACAAGATAAGATCGCCCCACCCGGAGTGGCTTTTTTCTAGAGAAAGCTGGCCAGGAGAGTTTATTTCCCAAACGGGCACACCATCGACGGTTTTCAAGCTACGCAGATGATATGGCCCAGAGGCAAAGGTCCATTCTATGGATTTGAAACTCATGATGGCGGCCATTATCCCGGGAAAGATGTTACGGTCTTGCAAAGCCAAGACGGGCAAACGAAAGGGATACGACAACCACCATCCAATGAGCAATGGTCCCAAAGATAATCGGGCCAGTCGGGCCGAGGATGAGCCTTCGAACTTGGGATGAAGCAGGCCACATTGGACTATCATCAGACTGGTAATCACGCTCTTTTCAGATAAATAGCCCGGGATCATCCCGGTCGTTGGGTCCCTTGAGAGCGATTGCGGGCTTGAGGAAGTTCCATTTGTCGCTAGCCAAGCGGAAGTAAGACCTTTCAATGGGAAAAGGCTTGCTTGATGGTGAGGGATACTTTCCATCTTAGAAAAACAATGATCTTTAGTGCTGAGTCCTATGATTTTCAACTTGGATCTGAAGAATGTCTGTGCTGAGACTAAGTGCAGGCCGGAATATTCTGCTCCCAAAATAAGAACACTCAACTAGCTGGTATATGTATACGGCTACGTCACTGCGTTCAACAACCAAACTATGTAGAGTCTCAGATCCGAGGTTGAAGCCTTGAGCAACAGAGCAAGCATTTCATCTGAACAAAAGGCTTCTTGCCCGAGCTCATCACAGCGGACGACGGACATCCTCGGGAACATTATTCCTCGTTGGTTCCGGATGCGTTCCGTCCTAGTAATATTCATTTGAAGTACTGCTGCTCGCATTGGAAGGCTCGCTTGGAGTCGGACATACAAAACCTTGCGGCCACTTGGATTTGAGTTCATACGTACCCAAAACATCACAAGTCCAGATGGTCGTGGAACAACACCTTGATGGGCAGAATTTGACCAAGGAGGAGATTAAGCACTTCTTACTTCTCCGAATGGAAGCTTAGTGAGACATCTTGGAAGGCCTGAATCGGACAGCTCCACAGCTCCAGATGTTTTTTGCCAAGACGATAATTGCACGAATTTGACTCGAGTCGCCGGTCTCATTGGAGGGACAATTCGAGCTGGATTGACTCTATACACAATCAAGCTAGTTTTGCCCTTCAGACAATTCCTGCTACAGGATACCACCGACTCACTTAGTGGACAGAGGTGCACTGCTAGAAGTGGATAGAGAATGGGATAATTACATAGAAGATTCCTTCTATTTAACTCAAGAAGCATGGTTTGTTAAAAATATCTCTGGTGGTTAACCATTGAGTTTGCAATCAACAGGGAGGCAGAGGTCAAGCTTCAACATCCCATAAGTCATGAAATGAGAAAGGGCATCTTCTTCTCCTCGGAAAACATAGGTCATGATGGATGTATGAATTGGACGCATCTATTTACAAGATTCAAGAGATATTGAGGCGGGAATGTAGTGCGATTGCCAAGGCCACAAAGACATTGTCAACAGAACTCCTGCAAACTTGATTTCTCAAGTTGACGCCAAGGGGAAGAGAAAAACAGATCGTGAAATGGTATGGCAACCCTATGCTTTTGAACAAATCCGCGGTTTCGTCAATCCCAAGACAAATCTTGCCGCCTCTTGACAAGCACCAATTATAGAATCTGAGGGTCGTGTATGATTCCCGGTCCAAACTCTGAAGAGACTTGGAGACACGGCAGGGCAATCTTCCGGCTGGACGGCCTCCGCGACCTCCGGGCGGGATGGGATTGAAAGATGTACCGCGCCGGGCCCCGTGCTGTTCGGTGTTTTGGCGTGCTTCTCCCCGGGGGTTAGGTTTCAACTGGTGATCCTCATTTCGCCGGCTGCGGGCATCCCGCAGCGTGGTCCCCCTCAGCTGTACCGGTCGGGCGGCAGGGAGTCCCCCGGGCAGGCGGAAGACCGACCAGTTCACGAAGAACCGATTTCCTCAAGACCCATCAAGACAAACCCCAGCTCCGATCGACCAACGAACCTCAGTCATGGCATCCCGCCCAGTAAGCAGATCAGCTGAACTCTCAAGAAAAAATGATGCTGAGCCCTTCTTCGGCTAAAACCGGAGTGGAGACAATATCTAATACCAGATGGACTTGCAAACGTTTTCATAGGTCGTCAACGTCCGCTCAACATCCGGTCAATCCTCGAGCACCATCCCCCTTCCCGCAGTCTTCACTGCCCCCATCAGGAACGATGTCGTTCAGGATATCCACAAGAACTTGGCCAAGAACAAACGTCAAGCTTACGCCGTTTCCTCCAAGGCCGGTGAACAAACTTCCGCCGAGTCATGGGGAACTGGTCGTGCAGTAGCCCGTATCCCTCGTGTTGGAGGTGGTGGTACTCACCGTTCCGGTCAAGTAAGCCAACTGCAGGGAAAACCTCGATTTTCGTTTTTGAGCACCAAAACTGATCCTGCCCTGTCTTTTTTCCCAGGCCGCCTTCGGTAACATGTGTCGGGGTGGACGCATGTTCGCTCCCACCAAGATCTGGAGGAAGTGGCACGTCAAGACCAACTTGAAGCAGCGCCGTTACGCCATCGTTTCGGCGATCGCTGCCACTGCAGTCCCTTCATTGGTCCTTGCCCGTGGTCACCGAATCGAGAAGATTGCCGAGGTTCCTCTCGTCGTAGCCGACGAGGTCGAATCGATCTCCAAGACCAAGGAGGCCGTCGCCATCTTGAAGACGCTCAAGGCCCACTCGGATGTTGTCAAGGTCTCGAACTCTCGCAAGACCCGTGCCGGTAAAGGAAAGATGCGTGGACGCCGATACCGTCAGCGTCGTGGTCCCCTCGTCATCTACAATGAGGACAAGGGTATCGTCCGCGCTTTCCGAAACATTCCTGGTGTCGAGCTGGTCTGTGTTCACCGTTTGAACCTTCTTCAACTCGCCCCCGGAGGACACATCGGTCGTTTCTGCATCTGGACCCAAGGTGCATTTGCCCAATTGGACGAGCTTTACGGCACTTACGACAAGCCTGCTACCTTGAAGAAAGACTTCTCGTAAGTATAAATCCCAACTCTCCACTTTGACTTGATTGATATTCACACCTGCTTCCCTTCCTCCAGATTGCCCGTTTCCAAGGTCAGCAACGCCGATATCACCCGAGTCATCAACAGCGTAAGTCCAAAACTGCACTCTCTCGTGATACGCTTTCTGTTCCCTGGCTGAACCTGTTTGCGTCTTCCAGGATGAAATCCAATCGGTCCTCAGACCAGCTGGTCCTTCTCGAGTCAAACGACCTTTCACCCAAAAGAAGAACCCATTGAAGAACCGAGCCCTTCTCTTCCGTCTCAACCCATACGCCAAGGTGTTGATCCGAAACGAAACGCTCAAGCAGGCCAAGAACTTGAAGGCCAAGGCTGCTGCCGAGGCCAAGAAGGGTACCAAGAAGATGGTCCCTGCTGGCGAGAAGTTCTTGTCCACTCTTCAAGCCCCTTGATTGTCTCCAACCCCCTCGTCCATCTCTCAATTGTACCCCCTCGCCAGTAATCATCTTGGACGTTAATGCATGATCATTTCCGTCCAATCGGTGTCTGCCTTTACTGGTCTAACATTGAGACCCTGGGGTTGTGTTCCCTTTTATGCAAGTCCTCCTCATCAATCTATGGTGTTGAAACACTCCGAGTTAAATTTTTTGAACTTGAAATGTTTCCTTATGCAATGCATTCTAAGAACTGAAGCAAATGCTGCTCCAGATCATGCAAACCACTCGCTGATCTTGGGATTTGGTGTGATCTGTCTGTCTTGGTTAGATGGGCAAACAAGCTCGTAGGCTGCCTACGTGCACTCGGAAATTTTGGGCAAGGCATTGTCAGGTGCGTATCCCGCCGGGCGCATGAGCCTTGTCGCAACGTACTGTTGCAAATTACAACCATGCCGTCTGCAGTATTAAGCCGCATACTCAATGGACATCAGCCAGGTCGGCTGCAGCCTTGTGACCCTCGAACAGTCAATCCCTGTCAATCCTCTACATCGCTAACGCTGCAGTGACAATTGAGCATCTGACAATTGTCAAAGACTTCACAGTGCTGGTGTTCACGGAGTTATGTTTGCCGCTGCACCCCGTGCAAGCACTCGAGGTTCAACATATTTACAATGCAACAGAAGAAAGAACTACACATTTCAATCATTTTCGTGATCATGAGACCGCCGCGTTCTTCGGTGTCAAGGCTTGTCAAGCTGTCCCGGCACGAATTCGGAGCTCGGTCCAGCAGTGAACATATACGTTGGGCTCCGGCCGGGACTTTGACGCAGGTCAAGCAAGCGGTGCTGCCGACTGACTGCCTGTCAATGCGTCTGATGACAAGCCGTTCAAGCAAGCGGTGCTGGCGACTGAACTGGCCTGATGACAAGTCCTGGAACCCGGACGGAAGCGGTGTGCTCTCAAGCCGGACAGGCTTTCTGGCAGACTCTAGCACAAAGACTTACCCTGAGCCAACCCATCGGGTATATAAGACGAGCACTATCATGCTTGCCCTTCTCACCCACCATCATACACTCCAGCATCCAGCTTCCCCCCCCCACTGCAAACAGCCCCACCTTCCAAAACTAAAACCCACCACAACCCACCTCCCAAACAGCAGACATGCAGTTCGCCCTAGCCATCGCCGTTTGTCTGAGCTTCATCTACAGCTCAATCGCTAGCCCGGTGATTATTGACAAGGGCAAATACCGAATCGACACCAATCAGCCATACCACGCCACCGGATTCAGACCGCCAAACCAAGGCCCGTACCCGAACGTGGACTGGAATCAGGGATACCCCTACCCCTCAAACTTCGGCTTCCCGTCCAGTTACAGTTATGCCGATTTCGATGCCTGGTATCGCCAACAACAATACATGAACAGTGGACCAGGGTACATCAACGGGGGTTCCTCTACAGACCAGGGATACAACTTCGACTCCGGATCCGGAACCTACTTCGCCAAGGAGGCTAAACCGGAGCACAAAGGAAAGGCCGATGCTCAATAGGCACTTCTATTTGATATGTCCATCATCCTGGTGAGTCTGCAAGTCCCTTCCATACGCTCCTCTGCATCACCATCGACTGACTCCCTTCGTCCCGCTGCTCCCTTCCACATCGCAGGATTATGTTCTCTTAGGGCTCCGACTCCACGCCTTCTCTGTCCAGCATGATCTCTCTCTCTCTTCTCTCCTGATGCTGCCCACGACACCTAAATTGAATACGTTCTTCATGATTTGTTTATAAACTCGTATCGGACACGACCCCTTAGTGATTTCCCCTGAATACTTAGACGCTTCCTACTCTTAGTTCTCGACCAGATGTTCCGAAGTGTTTATTTTTTGTTCTTTTGCATTTTCACCATTGCCCCAATTTTGTTCCTCAGAAATACAACCATTGGTCTCTCTGAGAATTTGAGATGATTGAAGTTAGCAAAGAGGCCGGCCGGACAACGCAAGCTTCCAGTGTGAGTCCATACCGTTGGAAGCCTAGCCCAGGCAGTTAGAGGAGCGGAGGATAAGGGTTGGTGGTGGAGCTTAGATATGACAGGAGACGCAACGAGGCTGAGCCGTGCGGTTGCCAGCCAGGTATAATGGAGAGTGTGGAGAAGCCACAACAGTCAGAGACTTGACTAGTTGTCCTCAATTCACAGCTCTAGAGAAAGACGCGTCATGTACTCCCAGAAGCAAACGTGAAGAAGACCCCAAAGATCACACAGACCAATGTCTTCCGTGAGCACGCAGGGCCGACGATGGCTGAAGCCGCGCTGGTACGACCGTGATGGGATGTTGTATTGATGAAGGAGGAAAATAAAGGTCTTCAATCTTGGTCTGATCCAGGATTTTTTGAGTAGAGGAGGACGAGTCGGATTGAATGAGGATAAGTAGGATCTCTGATAACAACGGCTTATAAACAACGGCTTATAAGGAGATCATAATCCGGCCCAATCCTAGATGTTCTTGAGAAGCTTTTTTTTTTATGCTGGATGGATGTAGCACACATGCGCACGATTAAAAGATGGTTGCTATGAATGTGCAATTACTTACCCGACAACAAGATTTTGATGGCTATCGACGATAAGTTCATTCCGATCATCATGCCTGTGATTTCCACGCTTTGACGGGGTCAAAAAGGGCGACCAGTTCGCGGGCGCGAGCAGCAGCATGTTTAGCCTTCGCGACCTCTCGAACGCAGTTAAGTGCTTAATCTTTCTCTGCTGAGAGTGTTATAATCTCATTGATGAAATTTCTAGGCTATTCGGCACAAGGAAAAGCCGGCTTGAAAACAAGCCTATCGGGCTTGTTTGCTACAAGCCCGATCGGACTCGCCAGTCGGGAGCGTTTCAAACCAGGATGATAACTTGGAGGAATGGCAATGTAAGCAGGAAAATAAAAGACATCGAAAGATCCTAATTGAGAACGTAGAACATAAAGTCACAACAACATCGATTTTGAAGTTGTATTAGTAGTAGTAGTAGTAGTAAATAGTCTTCTCTCAATACCGATCCCAGCCAAGAAAATACACGCATTGTGGGGGCCTTGATTTGGAAGTTGTTGAGGGCCAGTCTCAAGACAAGCGACATCAATTGAAGAACAATCAGCCACATCGCTGTGGAAGACTTTTGTCAGATTGATTTCGAGTAACATTGGATCGATCTCCCAGATCTTGAGCTTCTGATCGGCGGAAACGCTGAACAATGATAACCTTCTTATATCTTCCATTTCTTGACACTCCTTTTCTTTGTCGACAAAGCCAAGCCCTAAGATAAAAAGATCTGCAACCAATATTGCTTCATATAAGTACACGTGCTTCTTCTGACCGGAAAGATGACATATATTTTTCAGTCAAGAGCCAAGAAAACATACCATTGATACAGCTGGCATGTGCGTGAGGTTTCTTTGCCATAGTCATTTTTGCTTCCAAAGACCCAGTCGCCTGATTCCGACTGAATCCCAAGCACTGCACAACTAACGAGTTATCGTCGCCGCCAGTAGCTATGATGACGCGTTCATCTATGTGTAAAAAGATGGCTCTATTCAGTTGACTGTATGAGTAAATCTGAAGGGTAAGAAAAAAGAAAGTGCAGTTTACTTTGCGAGTGGCTTTTCACACACCTCACACCACTCTGATGGCAAGGTAACATCAACAGCATTTCCATCCTCTGTTTTCCTATAGCCTTACCCTCCTCGATTGCGGCGATGTCGATCTTTGGGAGGGCCAAAACACGGACACTTTGTGCTTCAAGAGGCCAGTTAGCAGTCGAGACATGGATGGAAAGACAAACGTTTGAGAATAACATACGCTCCGTCAGCCGATCCCGCCAGGATCAATGTCTCTCTCTCGTTTAAAACTTTGATTTGAAGTAGCTCAATGGAGAAGACACAGTAGTTGGTTTTGTGTTGGAAAAGAAGCTGTTGCTTTTTCTTGTTGACGTCCAAGCTCCATACCTGTGTCAAATTGAAAAAATGAGATCGGTTCAGCTGTGAGGGCAAGTGGTGTACACATAATGACTGTTTACATACTCTGATATTTCCATCACTTTGTGAAGTAGATAGCAACCAGGTAGCATCACCCAAATGCAGGCGATCCAAATCCATGATTCTAACCTCGCTTTCCTCTGCTGAACGTTGGCTGAAGCTGAACCAATGCATCGCTCCCACATCGATTTCGTGTGTAGAGCTTGCGTCGGGTCGGCGATCTATCGTCACTCGGAATGTCTGGAACATTTCTCGCGATCCAGATATGATCAAAAACAGCGTTTCTCTGTGCCCCTGATGTCCATCACACCAAAGCCGGTCCGTAACTTCACATTGAGTGAGAATCTTTAACCACGCCAGACACTTGACTGCAAATGGAATCCTAGCATTCCGATAAACTGTCGCAAGTGGCTGCGAAGTACATTGGCGTTGATCTGCACGAGATATTGTCAGCTGAATAAATCTAGAAGGTTCCCGGGATAGGAGCGGGTTCAATCAGCCTTGCTCACTGAGAGACAGTTCCAAGACGCCATTCTCAGAACCAGTAGCTACTATTTCCAACAGTCCTTGAAAGATAGAGATCACTTTGAGACAATTTATCTCGCGACCATGAGTACCAGAGTCAGGAATAGAGTGGATTGGACTGTTTCTGTTTGGAAGCGATACACAATTTATCAAAATCTGTTGCAAAAGATTGATATCAGAAGGCCGGAGATTTTATAAAAAACATATGTCGGCAACAACTTGAAAAAAAAAGCATAAGCCAAGCGGCTTACAGATCCTTGTTGCTGATAGAAAAGCAAGCTTTGACTACCGTTGTTCCTGCAAAACCACATGTTGGGCTGTCCGTTGCAGGCGACTTTACAACTACCGATCTAGTTGAGCAAAAAATAATAAGATCAACTTTGGTATTCATTGATGCATCTTTCTTTGATTATTTTGAGAAAGATAAATACCATTGAGCCAGTTTGACAATCGAATATATTCCACCGAGCCTTTTCAAATCCGCCAATGTACCGCGAACGGTCAGGACAGTCGAGGAAAGCTTCAAGACTGCCTTTGCCGATTGGGTTCTGATGGATCTGAAAGATTCTGATCTCGTTAATATTGACGATTTGGATGCAACATCTTATCAAATTCCCATCACGTCCAAGAGTATGTAAGCACCAGCCATTCTTGAAGCAGTTGGATGTGGAATCCCGCGCTTGTTGATCGAGACGAATGTCGAGAATGCCGTCTTCATGCAACGATACAATTGGGCCAACTTGGCCCTCCCTCTTTGACGCTTCACCGACTGCTAAACATCCCTTGACATCCCCCACAAAGATCAACAAACGTCCTGGGTCCTTGGTTTCTAGAAGCGTCATAGAGGTCGGCGTCTTCAGAGACCGTAGACACATTCGAAATTTCAGCTTTGGATCGTCGTTTGTCTGCGCACTTCCATTCAAAATAAGATATCAATCCAACTTTTTTCATGGCGTGGATCCTTCGAAACGCCAGCTTACCGAAACGTCGTAGAGAAGACACGCATGTCGCTTGCAGTCGTATATCAAAGCGGATACTGTATCTAGCATGATTGATACCATTTCCCTTCAATCAGTTGAATCTTCTTTTGCTCACAAAACGGAAAGGTAGTGTTTACTCACTTTTAGTCACGTAGATTGTGAACATAGTAATCGTGTGCTCGAGATTGTGGATTTGAATCTTTGGTTGGCATCCACCTAGGCCATCAATAGCAACTAGCCAGCCTTGGTTGGTGGCAACGTATGCTGTCTCGTTGGACCCTGGTGCAAACCGTACGTGGCACTGTGATCGAAAGATGGAAGGATGACGGTATACAAACTTCTCCAGACATTCCTTGTCAAGAAGAGAACGAGCATAAATGGATCTGAAAGACAAATCATGATTTTTCAGGATTTGGTAGAGGAAGTTATGCGACAACGTCCAAAAAAGTCACTTACCCATCTTGGCATACATACACAATCCTGCTGACGTCCCGACTAACGTTGAAAGCTTTGATTGGGATCTGATTGATACTAGTGATTTTTTTTACTACAGAAAAAAAATTACAGATGCATTCAACATGCGTGATGAGCTTTGTAAGAGTGTGACATACAAAGTTGAGAAACTAAGGCCCACATATAATTTCAGGAGGATTATTTGGTTCTATGAAATTTGAACAAATTTTTCCGTCTGCTCCCCCGGTAAGCTACAAGATGTACGCGATGATTATTAGCATTCCTATCATTAACTGTAGTATATCTGCTCACTGACCAAGCAACCAGTTTCTGGATCGTGGGTAACAGACCATACACTCCTTCCATCATGTGCTAATTGAATAGTCGAGAATGGCTTGAGTGAAGATCTACTGAGAGGGTTGCTCTCACACTTTAGAGTGTCAGGGTTTTTACAAGATGTAGAAAATCTCCATGTCAATGCTCGGCAGTCCTATTCCAGTGGCACAGCATAAGAGTGAGGGAGAAAAGCGGGTTTTAGTATGATGACCAAGTACCAGGAAGATGACTTTTTGAAAAAAAACAAAAAGAAAAACCAACTTCTCCTACGCTTGTGAGTTGCTCACTATTCGACCAATGAACGCGCCAAACACGTCCGAAATGTCCCCAGAGTACGATCGGCGACGCTCCTAAATTTGTGAGGTCCCAGACGCGTACAGACCTATCTTCCGATGCGGTGGAGAGCATTTCCCCTAGGGGCGAATATGCCAGATCATATATGGCGCCCTTATGGCCGATGAGAGTCGTTTGCACGGGCTCGATAGCGTCATGGCCCTGGTTCTCGGCGCTCCATTCCCATAGCGTCACGTTGCCAGATATAGATCCAGCTGCTATGCAAAAGACCAGGTGTTGGTCTTGGGCTCGAATTCGAATTTGTCCTGACATCAATAACGTCGTGTCTTGACAAGACACTGAATTTATCTCTTCCAGCTGTTCGGGAGCTTCAAATTTATAAAATACGAGTCGATTGTGGGCTGTAAGCAGAGCGATCTGGGTGTGTTGATCGGAAGATTGGCCGAGGTAGTCAATATCTATTATCCAATCATTGATGGTAAAAGCCTTGAGCTTATTCAACACCAATCTATGGCCATCGGTATCCAACATGGCATTATTCGTCGAAATAAATAGTTAGAAAGCAAAACGGTGTGATCAAAACGATCATTCTGAAATTGCAGCGATTGGTAGTGCCGCGAAGACAAAGAAAGTGAACCCGGGATCATCAGATGATTAAAAATCTGACCTTGAGGAATGTGTTGTCTGGCCATCTTCGGCGTCGACTTCCGCGAGACACTCGATCGAACAAACCGCGAATTCTCTTCCGCCACCACACACAAACGGACTCTCAGCGCGTCTTTCTTCCTCTGGGTGCTCTCCATGATATTCTAGAGGCTTGATGTGATGGATCCGATCGGCCGCCAAAAGCTTGCGATACAGCACTGGCTCAGGATTTCTTGAGGAGCAGGCCGCCAAGCTAAAAACGGAGAGGAAAGAGCCCGATCCGACTAGCAGAAGCCGATCGTTAAGGGTGCTCGAAAGGAGCTGCAGGAAGGTAATCGGACCCACGAAGCACGAGTCATTCGAGACTTGTCGTGTCTGCTCAGACATTTTATCTTCGCCTCGAAGGGCTTGATCTGATGATCTTTTTTAAAAATGTGTTGGATATTTAACCAAGCCTGTTTTGGGTGTAGCGAGCAGAGATTGAAGAAGAAGATCAAACATGTCCGATGAAGACTTAAGTTAGGGTCATACATATGAGGTCCCGACCCGAGCCCCATCGGGTCCGTCGCAATGCCCCAAACCCGCGGACAAGGCTACGGCTCGGATACATTCCATCATGCCATGGACGCCAAGAATACATATTTATATGGAACACCAACACCTATTTATCTACACTTTTGCTCCACACCCCATCCACAGCTTTCTCAGCACCATGGCCGACGGACAGGACAGTGTGATGTCCAGGTTGATCGACTTATTCGGCTTGCTTCAGAACGAAGACTACGCCGAACAGATCAGGCACTACGAGGGTATATATACCTATAAACAAACATGCATATCATTCACGATCTGTCTTGCAAAATTAAAAGCTATGGAGGAGAGAGGCCGACTGATCAGAGATTCTGTTCTGTTCCATACATCTATAGGTTTGGCCGTCGATGAGCTGGGCCGTGTGAACGATGCATATCTTTCGATGTGGGCTGGAGTTCCTCATCGAGAGGAGCCGATGGCACTATTCTACGAGGTCGGGATACGAGCAGAGCTCTTGGATCAGCTGCTCTCGAAACGTCTGCCTAGCTTGCGACGCCACATCTTTGCTCTCTCGGATGCCCTTCTCGGACACTCCGAGCGTCCACTTAAACCGGTCTCAAAACTGCAACTAGTCGTCAAAGTTCTATCAAAGATCGAGGTGACGATGAGTGAAATCAAGTTTTATATTGCCTCTATCTGGCCGAATCTAGACTCGCAAGATGTGAGAAATGATCAAGACTTCGAAAGATTGAAATTCTTCAGATCGTGTCGTCTAGCATTACGGATCTACGAGATGGCCAGTCCAATTTGCACATTCCTTCGAACCGCTGCTTCTTTTATCGAAGAATCAGGACACGCGTTTGCTAAAGAACCTGAGAAGAGAATCGAAGTGCTCACGATGACAACGGCTTGCTCCGAAGCAATCGATACGGCAATCAAATACATGGATAAATCCGACATCGACATTATCCAAGACGAATGGCACTCCAAGATAAGTTCGCTCGATGAATCACTGGAAACCTTACTCGAATTCATCAATCAAAACCTCTCACAATTAAACGAAAAAGAAGAAGAAGAACAACAAAGTCGCTCGATCGGTGATCAAGATCCGTCTCGCTCTGATACTCAGCCTGTGAATAATCGAGAACAGAATGATCCACACGGACAATCTCAACAAGACACTCAATCGCCGTATCATCCTGGGTTTACACCTATGATAGCCATCATCAAATTATCAAGATTATTCTTGACGAAGCTATCCAAGATCTCGGCCGATCGAGCGAGTTTCAAGTTTGTGACTGATCTGAGTTCAAGAGAGCTCGATCTAATCCGAGCATTGAGCGCGATGATCTCTGAAACTATTGGGAGGCTTTTGGGCGATTGCTGTGGGGATCTCATTATCGGCGAGGATGAGTTTGGAAGAGTTATCTTGAGTATCAAGAAATCGATCACTCGTCTGCTCAGCATCCCTCACCATATCTTGCGCATGGTCGACGACGTGTTTGTCCCTCTCGTCCATCATGTCGACCAGCCTTCATCTAAGATACACCTCAAGCCCTGGTTTTATCAATGGAACTCACTCTATCGTTTGGCCGTTCGAAACTTCCTCGAGGATCTCGGATTCACTGACATAAGTCTCTGATCATTTATCCTCCATATCTATCTCAAACTCCCTTGTTCAAAATCTCCCAGTCTTGAATTCCATACTCCATAGCTCCCACATTCTCAAATCAAATACATATCCTGAAAACACTCGAGAAAACAAATCGCAAATTGTATTTCTTCTTTTTTATGAACATGAACAATGTACCTCAGTAATCCTATCAGCTTATCTTTGAAAGTATGGCTCCAATCGCTCATGATGTCTGCCACAGGCCTGTATGTAGCTCAATCGGAATGTAAAATTATATGTGCGAGATCAAGAATGAGGTTGCTCGTGATGAAAGGGAACAACAGGATGATATTTATATGGGAAGAAGAAGACGATTGGAAGGGCCGAAGGGGACAGATATGTACGCTCAATTTTGAGCTTGAAGACCTTGCCTCTTTACCTTGGCACCTCAGAATATACCATGTGTTTGACCATGACTGAGTCTTGACTCATCTTTTGGCCTGAAGCCTAATATATGCTACATAGGAAGTTTGACGCGTCTTTTTCGGATTGATTTACTTACTGACTCAAATCAATCTTAATCATTTTGTCAATGTTGTGTGGACATTGGTAAGAAAGGCGTAGTTCCCCTATCTGCTCTGCTCTGCATGTAGCTTCTTACTTTAGCCCACTTGTCACTTTATCTAGATTGCTGAAATATGTGATCAAAACAAGCCTGCACGACAAGATCCGGGTAGGAAGCTTGATAACCATTTGGACTGGTACAACTCTGAGTTTCCTTTACTTGTCAAAAAAAGCGTTTTTTTTTTTACTACTATTTTTATGAAATGGGACAAGCATGACACAGGTTCGAATTTTTTCGATGAGAGAATAGCAGTCAGGATAAGAAAAAGAAGGAGGAGGAGAAAAAAAAAAGGGGGGGGGGGGAAGCCAATCGATAATGAGTGGCCAGTTTCTGAATTTTTTCATGGACCTTGGTCACGTGGGATGACCCGGCCGTCGGGGTACCTGCAAAAGACGATCCAATCGGCGATATCCAGACGGGGCGTCAACTGTTATAAACAAGTGTCCATCCATCGTCAGAGTCACCAATCAGTCTCTCTCGAGGAGGCCATCGGAAGTATACGAGAGAGAACCAAAGGCATGTTTTTTTTTTTTTTTTTGGGGGGGGGAAGGGGGACCAAACATACAAAGGGGGCCGATTGAGCGTCGCAGCAGGCCGTTTTTTGATGACCGTCGGTATTGGTGCAGTCGAATTTCTTGGGAACTGTGGATGGAGGGGCCGCGAGCTCTGTTGTATTTACAGATCAATTTGTATGTCAGGAATCAAATCCCAACACCAATCACCAGGATTTTGTGCATATTCCAAGTATTAATGAACAAGATAAAGCTCGATAGATGACAACTATGTACACAGAAGGGCCAGGATGATTGCAGACAAGGGAGACTGACGGTGGATGTGATAATACTTCTGCGGCCCTCCTCCGCCCGGATAGAGTGGAAGAGTATCCTTCAAGACTTGGACGCAGATCGGTTTCGTGAAGTGTCGCTGACCCTGGCTTCCGGCGTTTGTACAATCAAACGGTCCGGCTTGAGTTTCCCTTTGGATGACAAGCACCATCAGGAATTGGAACAACTGAATCAACTGCATCTTGGCTATGAGATTATTATTTATTTTTTTTGGTGGTATATGTTCTGGTACTGGATGATGGAAGTGCGGGCAGTCTGAAGTCCTGCCAGTTAGCTCTATGGTTCTTATCGATGATTGCTTGCAGCTTGCAACAGTGAGGCATCACCGTCATCTGATGTGAGCATGTACAATTTGGCCACACGAAATCTGAGCAAAGTTGTAATTCATCCATACATGTGTTATTGCAACTGTAGGCAGAAATTGATCATGTGCACAAACCAGCCCAGGCAGTTGAAATGGAATCACTGAGAGTCCAACAAAGCCTCTTCAGAGGGAGAATCCCCGCAGGGTTCTCCATCCCTGTCGGCACAAAGCGACAGAGTCTTGCCACTGTGCATGCTATGTTAACGCCGTGCACAGCAAGGAATCGGGATGTCTGCTCAAGTCGGTCGAAATCACCTTCGCATATTGAATGTGATGGTGGCCAGCGCACTGAAGTCCGGTCGGAGAACAAGACCACAACACACATGTCTTCTGGTGGCGCGTCCGATGGCGGCAGCATTGGGCCGGTTTTTGTACAGCTGGGGGCGGAATAGGGTTTAGGCGACAGGTGTGCGTCAGCGTTGATGGTGAGTGGGGCTTGAGTGCTTGAGGTCGGCAGCTGTCTCTCGGGTCTAGGCTAACGGACACCTGTGGATTCTGCGAGCGCCCAAGTTCCTCAGCTTCATTACAGACATAAAACAGTCGGGAATTTTACCAGCAACGGCCGGCGACAAGTGGGGTTAATATCTACATATTTCTGTACAACAAACATTTTGTTTTTGTATTTTGTTCTTTGATTTGATTTGATTTGCACGAATCAACTCTATCGGAACGAGCATGAAAGAACGAGAAGAGAGCCCAAAAAAATCAGGGGAAAGAATGAAGAAATGAAGGCTCGAAGGGACCGGATGATTATACGGATTAGTATAAATTTTTGATGAGGTTCGTTTTGGAAAAACCAATGAATGATGGTTCTTCTTGCTTATGGATGAAAGGGGTGTCAAATTGGAGAGATTTCGACGAATTTGTTTTCATGATTATGGGTTTCTTGTTGTTGTTGTTGTTGTTGAGATTGCTGTTGCTCTTGAAGTGGATGCTGCTGCTGCTGCTGCTGCTGCTGATGATGATGATCAAAGGTATCTAACACAGGTTAGAAAAGTCCAGGGATTATTGGAGCGGAATTGACGGTCTGAGTTTCGGTAGAATAGAATTCTTCGATAGTTGTCGCCCTACAGTATGACATGTTGACATGTTTTTATCGTCAAAGTTCCAACGGGCAAATGAAAAAAAAGAAATCATTCCGGTTAGCCCGTAGTTAAAATTTCAGACGGTAGTCTAATGAGGCCTACCCTTGGGTAGGGCCGTCAAGGGGAGAGTTTTGTTCATTGAGACCAGTCGAACCAGGAGGATTACCAACAAGCCCCAGACTCTCATTGTGATGAGGGAGAGGCTGAGGCTGATGCGGGAGATGATGATTGGGGATAGGCTGATAAAGTTCGTGATGATGATAATAATAGCAGGCGGTTGATTTCTCGAAGAATTCGGCGGTAGCCGGGCCGGGCCAGTTGGTCGCCGGGAACTTGGCCGGTGTCGCAGGGGAGGCCACCGAGCTGGTTGGAGAGGTATCCGAGCCAGGTGAGAAGTTCAGGCCTGGCCATCCTCCAGGTGGATAGAACGGCAGGAGAGGCGTAGCCGGGCCCAGCGGGAACAGAGGCTGGAGCGCCGGGTCACCGTAAGCTCCGGTGGGAGGAGCACCTGGCAGCGCCGAGGAAGCCACTCCGGAGTTCCCACTCGTGAGCAATCTCGCGCTATGAAGGCCGCCACCGGCTAACGGACTCCCACTGTGTGCTGGATGGAAGCCAGGCATCAAGAATCCCCCACCTGCAGAGCCAAGACCTACGACGTGAAACCCCCCGGCACCAAGCTCAAACCCGGGCCCACTCCTGGTCGGCTGGAAAGACCTGGCAGTGTTTGCCCTGCGTCGGTCCGAAGGCGTCCCGATCATGTAGTTCGCAGGAGTCGAGTGACTCTTCTGCGCCACTTTCTTGTTTCGCCATTTGAGCTTCGGAGTGCCCGTCGGCCCGCCGGCGATCCCATCCCTGTTGTTCCAGCCTTCTTGGACCGAGGGAGGAAGGGCTGCGGGCGCTGATGGCTCTAGAGTCAGTTGCTGTTTGAAGGACGATCGCACATTTCGCTTCCACCTACACCACAGCAAGAAACCATATCCGTCAGTTCAAGTTACTCAAAATCTTCGAACACGCCCTCACGTAAAAAAAAAATTGCCGACTGGAAGTCCGTCTGACTTACTCCTTTTGGGCCTGGCTATCAGCCATCCGACATTGGAGATGGCACTTAGTCCCTGGGATCGGCATTCCATGTAACAGTTCGACAAAGTGCAAAGCATCGGCTCGAGACGATAATCTAGGATTCCGGATTGTTTGAATAAAAACACAGCGTGTTTGCATGATTGTCAATGGAATTGAAATCTCGGGTTCATCTTTTTTTTCTATCAATATTTACCTTACAAACCCAACCCCACGACTCGCGCCAGATCCGACGGCCTCATCATCCCTATCGCGCAAGAGTCGAGCCTTGAAACAAATTCACAAAGGTTCAAGTTTTTCTAAACATTTCCACCAATTTCGACTAAGAAAAACAAGATTTTTGGTGATGATCGACTTACAGAAGCGATCGGCGTGTTTCCAAACAGCGCTTTCACATCCTCTTCTCCCCAATGGAACGGTAAGTTAGATAGGTAAATATTCGCACTCGTCGGGTCAGCCAGACTGGCAAGCATGCCTCTAGAGCTTTCCCGCTGTCCCTCAACCAACAAATCATCAAATCGTTAGAGAAATAAGACGAAGTGTTAGTTGGGACTCTCAATAATAACTTCCGACAGCGAAATCCGCCTTTTTTGGTTTGAGAGAAGAGGCAAATTGGAGACTCGTAACTTACCGCATAACTCGCTTGGTATCCATGCGCTCTTAATCCTTCGATGCAACGGGTGGAAGCCTCAACCGAATTCCACAAACAAAATCCAAAACCTGATAATATACGCATAATTAAGTGACAATTTTATTCTCAACGATATTTGTTTTCATAGATTGACTTCCCCCGAAAAAAGGGGGCTTGGAGCGCGTGTATCATGAATGCAAGTATTTTCATTTGAAGAAAGGAGATAGATATGATTTGGAGGGGCAAGCAAAGGATGGGAAGAGAAAAAAAAAGTACCTTTACAAGAGCCCAAAGAAGCTTGATCTTCCTCTTCGATCATGACCTTAACGCTAAGGATCCTAAACCGATCATTTTTAGAGGGGGAGATATCGTTGTCATCGTTGTTAGAGGAAGAGGAGGAGGAGGAGGAAGGGTGAAGCTTAAGCAGATGATGATCATCGCCCAGATGTTTCTGAATATCTTGTTGATTGGAGCGAGGATCGAGGCCGGTGAGGAGTTTACAGGGCTCAGATGAGGAGGAGGTTGCAGGTCGTCTGACCATCGACATGCATAGTTCGTGGAGGTCAAGCGGAGTGAATGTCGAGGGTAACGGTCTCAGATAGATATTCGAAGACACAAAATTCGGCTCTGGCTGTACTCCGCTTCCACCGACGGTCGTTAATGCTCTGAAAAAAAAAAACAGTGTATAATTGGAATATTGTGATTCACCATCGGGGAATTTCATCAGTACAATTAGTTGCAGTTTGTTTTTCCCTAGGCTATCAGTTCTTGTCACTCGAATAAAGCAAAATTTGATCAACCTGTTATGATGGCCATTCCTCCCACTGTTATGATTCGCCTTAAATCTTCCCAATGGTTGGTGATGTGGATAAGGTCCAGGAGATGGCCGGGGGAATCCGGCGGCAGTAGTAGTTGGACTACGAGTCAGTGGGGGAGATCTAGTGACAAGGGTCGAGAAAGAAGCCTTGTTGTTCGTCTGGATATTCGTGGCTATGGAAGGATATGTATACCAGAGAAAGAGGAATGACTATCAATTATCTATGCGTAAAATTATGAGTAGGAGATTGAAATTTCATTGGGGCACTGAACTTCTCTTTTTAGATTGACAAAAGTTGAGCACATCTCCTTCTCCATGAGCACCATCATCATCCATTCCATGATGAGGGTACAAACCCAAGTAACGATGGGAGGGAACTCGACCCAGGAGCAGGTTTTCCTCCGGGCCACCCGAGCCGGAGTGTTGACCGATGTGATCCAAGCGGAGTGCCGAGCCGAGTCTGCGATGATGATCGGGATGATGGATCGGAGGCGGCGACCAATCGGCGGGCGGATGGGCGTAGACTGCGTCTCCTCTCTCCTCGTATCCGGCTCCCCATCCCGTACCATCGGCCTGATCATCATGATCTTCTCCTCCTCCTTCTGCTTCTTCGGCTTGCCGGCCATCCGAGGATGAGCCCGAATGGCCATCCTCAGAGTCAGAGTCGGAGGATGTCGAGCGTCGGGGACTCGCACTCAGGTCCAGCCAGTCCCAGCGCTTGCGCTCTGTCTCCTCCTTCCACTCTTTCCCACTCGTCGTCGGCGTCGTCTTCTTGGTCTTCATACTTATCAGGGTTGATGAGGATGTCGAGGAGAGCGAAAATCTACGTAAACCGGTTCTCTCCATTTATTTAACTATCTAGTAAGCTCTCTAGTTCACATGTATATATTTTTTGGGGGTTGGTCAAACCAGAAGGACGAGTAGTGTATAGCTTTAAGAAAACGGAAAGATGCTCTATAAAAGAAGGCGGTTTCTATGCACTCTTTTGTGCTTTTTTTTGGTTTTTAGATGATGAGGAAGAAAGAAACGGAAACCAGACGGTTTTTGCTGGTCTAGATCATCAATCTTTGGCTCCTCACTGAAGGATTGATTGATTGAAGAAAGCGCAAGAGTTCTACCGAGGAAGAGGGAGAAAGAAATGGGAGTAAGGTGAGGAGAGAAGGGAGGAAGGAAGAGTGGATAAGAGAACCGTGTGCTTGAGTTTTCCCTTCTCTCTTCAGTCAAGGAAAGAGTGATGTCACCAATAGTGGGAAGAGTGATATGATATGATAAAGAGGTAATTAGAGCAGCTTGCCGATGACGCATGATACCAGGGGGCTCTCTCTTCTGCTCAATGATGATGATGATGATGATGATCACGATGAGTAATAACAACGGTTTTCGGGTTGAGGGAGCCAGTTCTTCAGGTTTTTATCACTCTCATGATTTCTGGGGGTGCATACAAGAACTAGAACCCACTCTGTGAACTGAAAAAAGCGGATCAAGTCTCGACCGAGCAGCTTGAAGATGAGATTTTGAGAAACCTTCACTTCAGTCTGGATGGACCGGAAAACGAGCTGATCGATTTGAAAGTTGATTGATCAAGAGAAGAAGAGAAAAACGAGAGTTCGTCTCTTCATCATCACAACCTTGACTCTTCTCTCGAAGTTGATGATGGTGGGTGGGTTGTGATTGCGCATACATTTACAAGAAGAAGAGGAAGAAGAAGAGTGGGCTTCGATTCTATTCAAACCTTCATCATCAATCGGAAAAAAAAAGAACGTGCTCTTGGTGATCGGTCATCTTCAACGAAGTTAAGAACAGAGAAGAGAGTACACTAGTGCTGTGCAATCCATTCGTTTTGATGATGGATGAAGAATGGTTGTGGTGTTTGACCAAGCCGAAGACCTTCTGTCAACGGAATACCAGAGAAAGAAAATGCGTTCCATCTACCGGGACTCTCACTCTCTGAAATCAAGAGTTGTTCTTCTATTGAGATTGACCGATCTCTGAATGATCGAAAAAGAAGTGCGAGTTCGGCGTCGGCGTCGGCACCGTCATCGGCATCGGCATCGGCACAAGATGTGCTTCATAAATCAAACACCTCCGGAATAATTATGGATTCCTTTTTCATATTTGCAAAGAAAGAAAGAAAAAAAACAAAAAAGGGCAAGCCGATGTCGATTCATCCAGATGATAAGCACAAAGTAATACAGCTAAAGGATCAGAGACCGATTGAATTGGGTTCAACAGCGCCGAAAGCCGGCCTCCACTAGAGAAATGCAACTTTCAATGGGTTTTTCAGTGAGGATGTGCAGTAGACCTATCGTTGACGATTTTGTATGACAGAAGTGGTATAATTCAGTGGTCCAGCAGACAACATGGTTGTTTTGGAGCCAACAAAAAAAACACAAGATCATACGTGCGCTCAAAGGAGGAATCGCTCCCAGGGAGCAGGATACAAACCCCTCATGTGGGTGG